TCTGTCTCATGAGTGGGTTGTTTCCAACATTACTTTATTTCGCTATACTCAAAATATATTCACTAAATTCTGTCTTCACATTGACAAAGTTAGACCCCGAAGCTTCCTTATATAACTTAAGCATACCCTGCTGACCACTGAGCACCTCCGCTGGAGCACCTGAGGTTAAGGGCCTTTCTTTGATGAGACAGAGGAAAGTGCTGTTTTCTCACTTTCCCGTCCAGGGTTCAAGGTTTTAACTAGCGACCTTCTGGTCGTAAGCTTGTTTTTCTTACCTTGAAGCCACCACAGCTCTTTTTGCACTATTGATATATTGTAGAAAACCTGGAGGATTTTTTAATAGCATTTGGCTTGCTGACTTGACCTGTAGCGTGTGGTGTAAAAACACGTGTACTTAGGCAGAAAGCACCAGTATATGGCTAATGGCCATGTGGCTCTCTTACCCACGTGCTGTGACATTGGTGGGTAATTTGTCATCCAGCTGAAAGACCCTAAGTGTTTATGACAGATGTCAGATCAACTTTGCGTTCTTTGTGAGGGCTTCATCTCAGCTGCTTAATCGTTTGGTTCTATCTGCACTGCCAAGGTGCAGCCTGGTCTTTGGTACCATGTCCCCTTTCATTACTATGAGTAATAAACCCAAGGATGTGGAAGGAGAATTGAGAATTATCTTGGTTTACTTTCATTTGATGCCAACTTGACAGGCAGAAAGCAGGACAGAATATAGGTTCAGCATGTTATCTTGCCATGGCCACACAGAGTCATGGTACAGTAAAAAGAAAGTTCTAAGGGTTTATGTATCAGGGCATAGTAAAAATCATCTTGTTCTTAGTAAGCTTTTAGATTAGGTAAATTCAAGCTCAGATGAATAAATACACTGTAAAATTATTTAATTAACAACATTTAAGAATGCAGAAGCAGTGTATGAAAAGCTAAGCACACCCTTACTGCTTTCATAGAAATTAAGAAGGTAAGTAGCAGCCAGTTGTTGCTAATCAAAGGCATATGATGAATTGATCATCAGCAAAAGCAGAAATTTCGGCAGTTTGTGGGTCCAGAGCATTCAGGTGTGTGTTAACACAAAGCTAAGGAGGAAAGACATCAGCTGTGATCTTACAGAAGCAATTGTTGTTGCCCATCAATCTAGGAAGCGTTAAAAGACCATTTCCAAACAATCTTAAGTTCACCATTTTTCAGTGAGAAGCCCACAACATTCAAGACAGTTGCCAGTCTCCCCAGTAGCAGATGCCCCAATAAATTCACCTCAAGGTCAGACTGTGAAAAGCTTATCTCAGACACTACAAGCCTCAGTTAGCATGTTAAATGCTAAAGTTCGTGACAAGAAAAAGACTGATGGCTTGATTGGAAAGAGTTGCTAGGAGAAAGCCTCTTCTCTCTAAAAGGAACAACACAGCATGGCTTAGGTTTGCAAAGTTGCATCTGAGAAAACCACAGGACCTCTGGAAGACTCGTCTAGTTTGTACAAAAAGTGGAGCTGCAGTGTTCCTGGTGGTGGAGGGGTGATGATTTGGGTTTGTTGTGTAGCCATAGGACCTGGACACCTAGCATTCATTGAGTCAACCATGAACTCCTCTGTATACCACGAGTGTTCTAGAGTTAAATGTGACATCTGACAACTTTAGCTTGGCCCGAATTGGATCATACAACAAAACATTAGTACTGACCATAACAGCAAATCTACAACAGAATGGCTGAAAAAGAAAAAAGAAAAATCAAGGTGCAATCAAACTTCAACCTGATTAACTGCTTTGGCAGCAGCTACAGGGAGCTGTGAATAAATGACTACCTAGAAATCTCAGTGAACTGAAACAACATCGTTAAGATGAGTGGACCATAGAAAAGGGTTACTGAATCATGGCATAGACCTAGTTTTTCAAACAGTGCTTCTGCATTTTGTTAAATGAATAGTGACACGGGATAATAAGTTAGGTGCACTTGTTCATCTGAGGTCATATTTACTTCATTTGAAGACCTGCTAAGAACCAAATGCATTTTATCATGTCCTGATACATAAAACCTTAAAACTGATCAACTTATGATATACTGGGTAAAATCTGTGCTTTGCATGCCCAGCCACCTACCCGTAACACCTCAGCCAGGGAATTAGTTTACTTTAAAACACATTTGGCCATTTGGTACTATATAACTCCCTTAAAAAGAGATGCTAGTGAAGTCGAAAAATCAAAATTGTTTAAGCAACACTAGTTCCCAACATTTATTATTTCAGAGAGTATCAAGCATGGTGACATTGCTTTGGCACCACATTTTCTGGTGTCTCTTACCTGCCACCCATGGAGAAATCAGAGATGGCATAGAAGTACGAGCGCAGCACTTTAGCGTCCTTGAAAAACTCATCTCCAAAGGTGTTAAGCCTGTCCAAAGAAATGAGCAGGTCAGTGGCTGTCACCCATTCCTGGAAAAGAAAAAAAAGAGGAAATGATATGGGAAGAAGAAAAGATATACAGGGTTAGCCAAAAGGAAAAGAAAAAAAAATCAATGTAAGAGAACCATTGTCGGGAAGTCTGCTGGCTGCTGCCACTCTTGGTGACACAAGAAAGCAGACAAGAAGGTTGGCAAGAGAAAAAAAAGACACTGGGCTTCAGTTGAAAGGGGTAAAAGAGTGAGATATATAAAACAGCAAATGTTGACAGCAAAGAAAAGAGAGGAAGTTGGAAAGAAGATATGGTCAAGAAAACTACAGTGTAACAGCAGAGGGAGAGCAGATATGATGGGGAGATAATGAGTATGGTGTAAGAAATTGAGTTAATGTCACAAAGAGGGCTGAATAAAAAGGGGATTAATGGAGACTAAAGCTGAAATATGAAAAAAAAACATGAGAAAAGAGACAACATTGCAGCACTGCTTCAGTATAATGGATGGCACTTGGCAAAGCTCCCACCACTGATATGATTTAAGCTCTTCTGTTTGAGACTACTGCAAAGGTACAGGCAGGATGAAGCAAGAGTGGGAAAAGAAGGTAAAGAGGGATAACACAAACAGTGGAAAAGCTAACGGGAAGTACAATAGTGGGTGCAAGATAAAAGCGAGGCCAGGTAAAGAGAGAGCAAATGACGTTTTCTTTTCTTTTTCTTTTTTTTTAACAGAACAACTTTAAAACAAATAGCTGGAGAGAAACTTTCTTTTTGTTTCTTGGCTAGTTTGGGACTCTGTGGGAGTCCTGAGGAAGCCTGTCATGCTTAATGTTTTGAAGCTTCTCCCCAGAGATGTCTTTGAAGTCTGGCAATGGGAGACAAGGAGATTGGAGCGGATGAGCCTCAGACTAAAAACATGTGTGAAGAGTTCATTCATTCATTTTTTAATCTCATGTACCATGCATTTTACCATCCATGCACCCCTTACCACATAGTACATTACTCTGCCAATTTTAGACGATTAAACATAAAACTGTGTCATTTACAAATGCCTTGTTATCAAATTCTAAAGTGAACGTTATACTTACATGACTGAATTACAGAAAATCTTTACAGACATGTATGCCTTACTGTGGATGTATCATTCAAATTTTCTGTAGTGCTGGAGCAGGTTTAACATATGTCAATGGTCAATGGTCAATGGTAACTTTATTGTCCCTGATGGGAAATTGATTCGCAGTATGTCAAAACAAACAACAAACATACAACCAACACATCACGTACACTCATTAAAAAAATACTATAATATAATATAAGCCTGATAAAACAACCTAGATATTCCATCGAAAAAAGTGCAATGTGCAATGGCAACAACACTTACAATTTAGTGTTGTTAATTAAGATAATAGCACTAGGTACAAATGACAATTTGTGATTGACATGTGCACCAACAACAGCTAAAGGTGTGTTGCTAACTGTAGGTTGCTTTTTAGTGTTAATTTGCATATGCTGCCAACAACAGTTCTTTTTATTCTTTGAGTCTGTGTGGAATCATGGTTTTGGAGAGACCTAGTAAATAGCAAGACTTACTACTAAGCTCTTTTGACCATTTTTGGCTTCTTCTGGCAACATGATAGCATCATAACCATGTATACTATAGTCTTTACACGTGTACCGATTACGCACAGAACATGGGTGTGGCTTGAGGTTTCCCATGGTGTACCAAATGGCACATATACACATTGGTTGATCAGAAAAGTAGCCATGCTATTGACTGACTGAATATGGAAAAGAACGAAATATTAATATTGTAATTTTATAAAGTGTACCTTTCTGTAGTTTTTTCCTCAACTGTTTCATAAATGGATGGCTCAATATATGTAAACATTTTCAGTAGGTTGTTCTCTAATAATTTTGATGAGCCCTGACTACACTGGTTTTAAAATAAGTTTTGCAATCTCTGTATTAAAAGATCTGTGGACTGAAGAGTCTCTAAGAGTATAAAAAAATGGCTCCAAAAACACTTGATTGGAATCAATATAGTATCAGTGCACATTGAGAAAATTTCTATTCCTATGCCTCTTCATAGTTAGCATGTAAAAAACCAGAGTAAGGTATTAGTCATGGTTCAGCAGAAGAAAATGGTTAATTGGGAGATAGCAAGAAATGGAAAAAAAGGTGACATGCCTGAACCCTCTAAGGCTCTCTTCACAGGTCCCTTCTGTGATGTTTCTTAGTTTAAAATAGCCTGAGCAGCACTGCAGTAAAAGTTTATAACTAAATTATCTTTAGAGGAGCTGCTTCTGGGGGGCTTTCTTGTGCTGTCAGCAGGTCCAGCATCCTCCTGTTTCAAAGGAGACAATCTTGGGATTTAGACCACCTGCGTGGTTAGTGCCTCCAGATCCAAGAGACATACTGCTGTGGCATCAAGTGGTCACAGTCCCCATTTTGAAGCATCTGGTGTGAATGCATTGCACATGCTCCTGATTGATTTTGCAATAAATGGTCTCAGTATGACTACCAAACTTGGGTCAGCTGTGTCAGTAAACGCTATAAAGAGGACTATTTCAACTGGGGTCAGCAAAGTGCAACTTGTGGTAAAGAATGTAAAAACCTGTAATTAACAATTCCTTTTTTAAGATTTTTTTTCTTTTCTTCTAATTAGAGCAACCAACTGAAGGTTGTAACTGACAACTCAGAATTGCATCTGTCACCAGGCGAGGACAAACTCATTCACCTCTTGCCTGAAACGTCTCTTCATGTCTCTGTATCTTGTCTTCATATGTTCCTTTCCGCCAGTATTATCGTTCTAGTACACTTCAGATTTTCCATAGGGTTCTGTGCTTTTGCAACCTATTGAGGATATTTGGTAGTAAGAGTAACTAAAATGTGGCAGAACTGCGTGCATGCTATTGTTCTGAGACTTGCTTTATCGATTTTTGCCCCTGCTTGACTCGGCTCTACAGACTAATGTGCTTTGGGATGACGCTTTATGACCCTGATGCATTGAGAACACCGATGCTCATTCTTCACTTTGCAGTTTGCTACCTGAATATGACTATATTTTCATCCGTGGCTTCTGAGAGGAGCTGGGAGCACAGGGGATCAGATATGACAGAATATCACACATCCTCTGCAATATGCTTACAAAATGTCTTTGAATCGTCATCTTTTTCTACTTTGTCATCCATGCTACGCTTGTCTAGAGTTGGCTTATCTCATGGGTGTGATGCCTTCATAATGTCCTTGTAATGAAAAAAAAAACCCTCCCTGATGCACAGCTGACGAAAAAAATGTAAAAAAGGCCACATACATAAATGAAAACAAGCAGTCGTCTGAAAGTCTTTGAGTCTGTTGTACGAAACACTATTTATAGCATCTTGCACATTTTCTGTCACAAGGAAAAGATTTCTTTTTCTTGACTTACACTCAAAATAGTTGAAGGCTTCCTTAATGAAAACTGATGCTGAGAGTTTTCAAGCATGCTATTGTTTGTTTAAGGCTGCGGGGATAGCAATGCAAAACCCCACAGCAGAAAGGAAAACTGGTCATCTGCTGCTAATTTATCCACAAATAGGATCTATAGTTTGTTGTTTTAATGCTTTAGGTCTGTTTTTGTCAATTGGCAACCTCTAGGCTGAAAAGCATTTACAATAAAAATGCACACATTAAAAGAAAAAAGAAAAAAAGCTTTTGTCACTATCTTTTATTTTCCCCATTGCTGGAGCAGAACTGGGTTCAGCTGAGAATTAGCTACTAGTTCTGTGCTTGGCGTCACCTAAGCTAATTTGAGATATGCAAGTGAAATGTTAGTGGTGCTGGTGCCTGTTGTTGCATTTTAACGCAATTATCTGTCAAATAATACAGCTTTCTATGGGGTCAACTGTACTAAAAGGCCATCCAAGAAGCTTGTGCTTCAGCTATTTGTTTGTTATTTAGCTGTGATTAGGATTAGTCAGTATCTTTGTGATGCTCCTAGTTTACATAGTCTATAGATGCACTCTGTTTCTCAATCTTGCTAGCATTATCTGATAACTTAGATAAATATGACTCCAAAAACAGAAAAAAGAAAGACAAAAAAAACAGCAGCATAAAGGCAAAGTTAAGGCTTCACAATGACAGGTATCAAAACTGAATGGTGACAGCACAGGAAGTACTGCCATATTTTATATACAGTCTACTGTGGAGAAACATTTTTATGTGATCAAAACTTTAGGGGCTACTGGACCAGCCGCTTTGTAAAATTAATAAGTAAATGATTAACACTACTTAGCAGTCATTTATACTGAAACACATGCCTTTACTACAGAGGGGCCAGGCTGGTATTTCAGTGATTTTAAATCCCAGCCTCCAACTCAACACACTCATAAATGATCAAATGCTTAAATTAATTCTTAGCATTTTAAAATTCTAACACACATTAAAAGCAAATACTCTTCCATTTATCATAGAGTACACGACCATTATTATACGGAAGAGTAATTAGTAATGCTCGGTAGAACAGTGTTAATTGTGTAAGAAAAAAAAAGCAGATATAGTTCCAAATATCACTTAGTCTACTGAAAGGAAGCGGTTTCTCAGGGTTAATTAGTAGTCAGCCCAAAACTTATTATTTGTGCAAAGCACAGCAAAAGCTTAATTAACTTTGATTCTCACTCCCTTGGAATTTTAGTCCACAATGCTACAATGATGCTGACTTAGGCTCTGGCGCGTGAGAGTGGCAAAGAGCCAGTCCTTTGTCTAAGACAATAAGCGTGTAATGATCAAATGGGCAGGTTCACAGACATGTATCTGACCGCATAGCAAAGTTGTTTTTTATTATTATTAACATACCACACACAGCTTTAAAATGCATCTTTGCTCAGGGGCTTACAACTTCCACCCTCACCTCTAAAATCTCTCTGGTCTTTTCTTCCTCCTTTTTTCCTCCACTTGTCTTCCTCTCTCCCTTCTCCCGTCTTCTTTCCCTGTTTCCTTGAACTCTGAAGCCTCTGGCTGCAGGCAGTGACAGGAAAGGGAGCAGTGTCCCTCATTCCAAAGT